AGCATGTGGAGAAAAGGGAACCCAGTATACTGTTGGTGGGAATGCGAATTAGTACAGCCGTTATAGAAAATAGAAGTTCCTCAAAAATTTAAACTACAACTACCTTATGACCTAGCAATTCCATTTCTAAGTAAATATCCAAAGGAAGCAAAATCAGTATCTCAAAGGGGTATCTGCACTCCCATGTTTATTGCAGCATTATTCATAATAGCCAAGACATGGAAATAACCTGTGTTCATCAGTGGATGAAGAAAATGTGGTATGTGTATATACAGTGAAATATTATTCAGCCATAAAAAGGAAATCTTGCCAGTTTTGACAACATGGGTGGACCTTGAGGGCATTATGATAAGTGAAATAAGTCACTGTATGACCTCATTTATGTGTGGGAATAAAAATATTGAACTCATAGAAGCATAGAGTAGAATTGTGGTTGCTGGGGGCTGAGGGGTAGAGAAAAAAGTGTTGGTCAAAAGGTACAAACTTTCAGTTCTAAGTTCCAGGGATCTACAGTATAGTATGGTGACTATAGTTAATAATACTGTATTGTATATTTAAAAGTTGCTATAGGAGTAGTACTTTAATGTTCTCACCATAAAATGGTAACTATGTGAGGTGAAGGACGTTAATCTTATTATGGTGAATAAACATTTCACAATATATACACATATCAAAACATCACATTGTACACCTTAAATTTACACAATGTTACATGTCAATTTTCTCTCAGTAAAGCTGGAAAATAAAATAACTCCACCTAATTTCCTTACCCCACCTTCATACCCTGCAGCTGTTCCTTTATCTGACCAGAAATAGAACTGCCAATTGGTCATGTTATTTCTCTACCCCAGAAGTCATTCTTTATGTTAAGGAATTTAAAATCTGTAAATTTATTTCATATTAAAATGTTATTAATTAGCTATTAAAACTCTAAAAATTCAATTTAAATTGAGATTACTCGGAGTGCTTCAGAACCGATGAAAGGTATAATTGTATAGTTATATATGTATAAAAACCATGAATTTGAAGTATTTAAGCTTTTTCCAAAGAAAGTCAGTTAAACATTTCAGTAAGGAGAGCAAAGTTCATATTTGCTACCTCCAAAAAGAATTACTTATCCTCCGCCGACCAGTGCTTCCATAATTATTCTCTATGCAGTTTCTAGTTCTTCAAACATACACACATTTACATCTCCCTACCCTGGTTTACTTAGCTTTAAATCACTTATATCAAATACTGAGAGTTCACACATTGATGTGATTAGAAAATGTTTAAAAAAACACAAAATGTGCAAAAAGACAGTAAGCAGTTATCACTAGAAATAACTTACATACCTAACCTAGTTACCACTATTGAGTTATCAGATCAAGTGATCTCATTAGTAGTTAAATCCTTTCAACTGGGAGCCCATTCCATTAGCCATGTGTTGCTAATATCATTTGAATATTAAAATTAAAATACATACAACTGTGATTACCTTTCACTCAGCACAAAGACTTGTTGAAGAACTATATCAAGAATGAATTTTTACATTGTTCGCATCCAAGGATCAAAAACAATGTGGCACAGACTGCCATTCATTCCCTTAAAATCCATTCTCTTTCATCTAAGAGAAAACCCAAATTTAGGCTGAACATATGGCAGTCTGAAAAAAAAAGACAATTTCCTAGCCTCTCTCGCAGCCAGATATGACCACATGACTAAGTTATGGCCAGTAAGAAGTAGAAATGTCCTATGGCCGCTTCCAAAAATCTTCTATAAAAGATTGCTGGTACTGGCTCATTGCTCCCTTCTTTGTCCTTCCTCTGACGGAAGGTAGATGTGAAGGCTGGAGTTCCAACCACCTACCCTGGTTTAGAAAAATGAGGCCCACACTTTTGAGTATAGTTAAGTGGTAAGCTAAAAGGATCTTAGATTCCCCAAATAATTCATGTAAAAGCACGCCCATCAGTCCTAGACTCTATACCTCTAGAATTTTATATTGAGAGAAATAAACTTGTATCTTTGCCTTTGGAAAAAGCCATAATACCAGCTTCCTTTGGATAAAGGAAGAAGGCAGATTTATGTGTGGCATATTTTCAGACATCTACTGTGAAGTGACATCTCTTTCAGTTGAGAGTAATATGATATTATCTCTTTTTAAGTAATTATTCTTACTCTGACAGATGCAGTTGCACTAGGGGTCAGAAAACGTAGTTTCTAGTCTTACCTATGCCACTAACTAGCAAATCCATCAACTTCTCAAAGCCTCTGTAAGACACCTATGTAGTAAGAGTCTCGAGTCTTAAATTTAACATACATGAAAAGTGTTCCATTGTTTAAATACACAAAATAGTTGATGAGAACAATTATAAGATACCTGTGGATAAAAACCCTGTCTCATACTCAATCTCTAGTAACAAGTATTCAATAAATATTTGTTTAAAAAATTTTTTTAATCCTTGCTAAATGAGTGAATAATTCAGCTTTCGAATTAATAAAGTTCAACAACCTTTAATATTAACTAAAGTATTACTTGAGTCCCTTAGAGACACAATTCTTAATTTTGGTGTCAGTCAAAAGATAAAGCTGTGGAGAGATAAACCTAGTTAATGCATTTATCTGGCTCAAAAGTGGACCACTGTTTGCCATAGCAAAATAGTTTAAACTAGAATAAGAGTTGTGGTACAGAAAGGAAATTTTTATGACACTTTTCCCTTGAAATTACAAAGTTATGCATAAAAATATTTTTTATGATTTAAACCACTAACCCTAACCACATCAAATGAAGGATTTCCTCACATTGCACTGTGGCTAAAGTATTTTATTAAATTAAGTATGTACTTTGCAAATGGTTTCATAAGAAATTTTTAAAGCAAAGTTATAAAACATTTTCAATAAAAAAGTACAGAGTTAATAGCAAAATTACATTTTCTTTATAGTACAAAAAACACATTGTTTCTGATGTACCGTCTGAAAATTTTATTATATATTCTCCAACTGATAGCTGCAATGTTGTATTTTAATGAGCAGTCTCATGGTTAATTCAATCATTTGTTAATAACAGGTTCATCATTTGGACCATAAAAGTCAACTGCTCAACTTTAAGGAAAATAATAAACATTTTCATCATGTAATGTGAAGTTTTCTAAAAGGCTCTTCAGGATGTAAATGTATTTCTAGCTTTGTTTCTCTATTAAATTCTGTAAAGGCATTAATATTGTAAACTTGAATTATTTTTCAAATAAGCACCATGAATATACATTCTACATTAACCTACTTTACCATTTTAATACTTTTTTTTTGCCACACAAACATTTAAATGTGTTTAATATGTAAATAAAAATAAGCAATACTTAACCACTACACAGGAAAATTATCAAATCTCACCTCATTGCAGAATAGAAAAGCATTTAGAAAAAACAGCACGCTTTATTTTTGTCTTTATACAATGTCATTTTCTTAAACTGAGAGCAGTTAAAACGTTGTCAGAGCAATTTCCTGAGTTTCAGTTTCCAATTTCCAGCTCCGAAATAACTAATTTTGTTATTTTATATGTGTCCTTTTCCTAAGCATAGAACACCTGAATTTAAAAAAACTGAAATTCTACTATATAATGTATTTAAAGGCCAGAGTTGTAAATAGTATGGAAACACCAATAAATTGAAAACAAACAAACAAACAAAAAAAACCCTCAATTTGAAAATAACATAGAGATATGTGAAGAGCTTATAAATATAAGACAATATGCTTCTATTTTTCAGGTTCAAGTAAGCAAGTGGGTGGACTGAATGAAGATACTGTTAAGGGTTCCTAATTTAGTCCAACTCTGCATCCCCTGTAGTTTCCATATTAGTTTTCTTTTTTCCCTTGGTAGTAACTTCTAGTAGACTACTGAAAGATATAAGTGTTACTAAAACATTCCAAACTACAGAAGTGTTACACTTTTCAAATATGAATACTTTGCAAAGAGCCATTCTAATGAGTTATGTACTAGCACAAATATACCAATACATGAAAACTTTGAAAATCTCCACACTATCTTTACTTTTGACACAGAATTTAGAGATGGGCAAAAGAGAAAAATTTGATAATCCCCAAACTATGTTTACTTTTGGCATACAGGATTTAGAAATATGCAAAACAAGAAAGGAATGATTATAAAATTTTCTTTCATAATTATGTGTTGCTTAAACTATGCCAGATAGTGGGGTGAGTGGAAGTTTAGTATTAAACAACTTCATAAAAATATGTATAATACTAAAATGTGCCTATATATTTATAAATGATGACTTAAAAATACTCTAGATTTACGAAAATAAAGCATAAAATTAAAGTTGACACAATATAAAACATACTTTGTTCATTTGGTTTCTGCCTACAAAATACTTCACTCTTATTGACGGCTCCCACATTAATCATAATAATACTTAGTATAGTAAGTCTAGTTGAAGTGCTCAAAAGCAATGTTTTTTTTTAGATTGGGTGAGGAAATATAAAAAACACAAAAAATAAATATGCAGCTGCACACACTCAAATAACTCCAGGGTTTAGTATTGTTAGTCACATTTCTTACATAGTAATTTATACATAAAAATATCTTGTATCATTAACAACATAGTTTTATACGTTGTTGAAATTTTACTTTAATTATACAAATATTCTAGACATTACCAAAAATGTTTGCTAATTGTTGGCATTTTTAAAACAAATTATTACAAACATAAAAACATAAATACTACTTCAATACCAGTCACTAATCATTTAAAAAAATAAACATATATTTTAATTTTTATGGAAATAAATTCAACAATACAGCTCTTCTTTTAAAGGTATTTTTTCATGATATATAAAAATGTGTTTTTGAGTTTTCATTAAAATGTCTTTTTCTTTTGGAAAATCATTCTGTAATTCAGGATTCTTTCAGTAACAGCTCAATCCTGTAATTCTTGATCCAAATGTTTTTTAAGCTTATCAGAAAACAACACAATTGTTTTGTTAAAATTATGTTGAAAATATTCTCCATATCCAGAAATAAATTTATTTAATCCACTGTATCATATAGAAAAATTATACTTTACCACATTAAACTTGTGTAAGGGAAATTATAACTGACATACTAACAGGACTTCTGAGCTCACCAAAAAACAAAAGTCAATGAAAGTTCCCCTTCAGAAAGTTGGCTCTTTTTAAAAATAAAGGTAAAAAACTTCTAAATTGTAAAGATTCATTTTATAATTATATCAAAAATGTTTTCTGTATTTAATGGGATCTTGACTTACTGCATTTTACGAATTACATGCCTCAATATAAGAGCTCCTTAGTACTGTCTTATATACCACTTAAGACAGTTCTAAAAACAGTTCTATAAGATAGCAACACTTGGTAGGTATCTAACCCATTTCTCCTTCTCTGAAAACTTTTCTGCCTATGGATAGTATAAAATTGCAATATAATCTCATACCCTAACTTTCCTTCTAGAAAATGCCCACACACGGGAGCGGGGGTGGGGGAATGTTAACAGATCAAAGATCATACACAAATACAACGCAGAAGAAAGTGCAGCAACATGTCTTCCTTCCTACAGGATATGGCAAAATAATTTTATATTTAATTTTGTAATCAAAAAGCATTCCAGTGTTTTTGTTAGCTCTTCATTTCCTCTTCCTCTTCTTCTTCTTCTTTTTAATATCAGCCTTTGAAAGTCATGAACCAGGTTTCAAAGCACTTTAAATACCTCTCATTGACACCTTTAGGATTTCACTAAAAGTTAAACAATTAATATAAAGACAACATTTTCTCTCTCAGAAAGAATTAGCATACTTTCAAACTTTAAAACTGGAGCTGATAACTTTTTTAGAAAATTTGAAATCAATACAATTTTTCTTTAATATTTTTAACAGACATTTGGCATTTGATTCCATAAAAAATAAAATTTCTCTTGAATTTTGAAAATTTTGTTTAATAACTGTACATTTCTAATAAAACATGTTGACAGTAAAACTGACTAAATTATTGTAAATAAAACTAATTTTAACCTACAAACCTTCACACTTCTAAGTCAAAGGCATTTATTTTACTTTAGCATGACTTTCAAACACCCTGGTTTAATTTCAGAGAACCTGCAGAAATGAGAAAAGTCATTTTAAAGATAAAATTTTCAAACTGGTTAAGGACTATATCTTATAATCCAAAGGCCAATATTTAGTGCATGCTAAATATAATATTTACCATCAAAGTGCTCTCCTTTATTAAGTCAATATCCAGGACCAATATCTATGCTTATGTTCCTTTTAATACACTCTTAAAATAAATACAATCCTAAGGCTGGGGGTTACTCCTAACTTAAAAGTTAATAATTACAATTTTAAGATTTTTCACATCTCTCAAGCCTGAATTTGACCTTCATAAAGAAGAGTATGCTGTATCAGGATAAGATGATGTCTGCATTGCATTATTTCTATGTATTAAGTCACTACCAAGAAGAAATCTCGAATTTAATAGGTAAGTCTGATTAATCAGGCCATGAAATGCTTTCAACTCCCTCAGTGTGAAATTCAAAAAAAATTCCTAGTCTCTAAAATAGATCATTAATCCCAACATGATAATGTTCTGGTCTAACTACTCCTTTTGCAACAGTAACTGAAATATCATCTGTTTTCATGCTCAGAAAATTAATACTACCATTTTCTATAATGTAGCAAAACAACATTTTGTTACATGACATGAACAAAATATGTCACACTAACTGAAGCTAGAAGTTTGGGGGAAAAGGTACTTAATGATATACAACCTCAGGGAATCTATCCATCAACAGATCTTATTCTTGGACTTTTCTTGTTGTTTTGTTATTGAATAATAATCTCTTAATGAAAAAGGGTATTTCATATTTGTCAGCTAAGATAAAAAAATAAGAACATTAATGGTGTTTAACTTATGAAGATGTACAAATTCATACTGACTGGAATGTTTCTGCTAAAGTTTAGACACATCCAAATTATAAACATATTTCAGCAGAATCTCCCAATTCCCCCCAAAATCCACAGATATATATTTCCTTTCAAAGGAATAATTAAAAAGCAACCTTAAACTATGATGTGTATAATCTAATTATCTTGGATAACATGTTATCAAAGAAATACATTTACTTTTAGATTTCAAATTTATGTTAGAAATAGTTTTTATAAGATGATTACTTCAACAAACATTCTTCTTTCACTTCTAGTTTAATGGACATCATAAATCTAGCAGGGAATGTTATAATTTAAGCATGACTTTGTGGCTAAAGTCAAATAGTTAAATTTAATTAAGTATTTTAACAAATTGTCCTGAGCATAATGAGTGTTTACTATCTATATATAGACAATTTTCATTATTGATAACAGAAATCTATACTCACCTGAAGCTGTGGCTTATGAGGTATTTAATGACGGCTGGTTTGATACGAGCAACTCCTCCTTGGCTGTGGTTTCCTCTCCCCGTAATCACAGAGAGATAGGGCTTACCACCATCCTGCTTAAATTCTGTTACAATAGGAATTGGAATTCATTAAATTACATTCATTTAAATTTAAATGAATAATTTAAATTTCATTTAAATTACATTCTCAATAGAAAACAAACCTTAATTACTCAAACACATATGAAATAATTTCCATGGGGATTTAGAGATGTTTTTTTTCCTTCAAAAAGCCCCAAAATTGATGTTTTTAAATATTTCACCTACACTAAGTATGAAAGCCTCAAAGCAATTCATCGGCTTAAAGATTTAAGTGGGACCCTCTTCCCCTGTGGGGAGGGAGATTTACTTGTGCCCTTGAGCTACCAGAATTTCTTTTCGATATAATGATAATTACAGTATTAATGATATCTAAAAATTATTACACACGTGGGAGTTGGGCATTGCTTTAAGTGACTTACATTTATTAACTAAGAATCTTCACAACAACCCTATTAATTAAATACTCTGAAGCCAGCCAGCTTTGGACTAATTAGCAGCTCTGCCACTAAATGACTATATATTACTTAGCCTATCTGTGCCTGTTTCCTAATCAGCAAAACAGAATATAAAGCAATACTTTAAAGACTATTACCCTCAGGAATGGCTACAGCAAATCTATTAATTGTACCATGGACTGCAGTCTTACTGTTAAAGATACTCAATTGTTAAGAAATTCTTCCAAATAGATGATTTTTAAATATTGAATAAACCTAAGCCTCTTAAAAGACTGTAGCTCCTGCTCTGAATATGATCTTGAGAAAATCAAATATATAAATCCTGAAAGGTAATAATAGCTGCACTAAAAATTTTAAAAAACAGTAATAATGAGTTGATTTAATGAATAAATACTTGTTCCTCAGTTATAAATAGCATAAGTTTTTACCTTTAGCATAAAATACATAAATACATAATATAAACATTCCATATTCTGTTCATTAAGTTACCCTAAGGCTCCAACAGATCCACAAACATGGTTTTTCAATATTTAGGGCAATATTTAGTCTAGAATTTTAAGAGGATATGTTACTCTTGCATTTTTAATTTTTTCTTCGCTTAAGATCTCCATTTCTACTCTAATGCATATCCATTACTTCAAGCAATATTTTGTTCAAAATTCAACTCTCTGGGTGCTGGCTCCACAAGGGTAATCATTCATTTTGTAAAAAGTTTTTACATTATACAATTATTATTTGTGCTTTGTTCTTTATGGATGTGACATTACAAATAAAAGTCTGCTTAAAAATCTTAGATCATTTAACTAACAATAATTTAGTCTCATCACTCCTTCACTACTGTTCCCCTCATCGGTTAAGTCAGTCATTTATACCACCCCACCTTTCAGCAGTTCACTTACTGCTCTAAAAATGTTTTCTAGTTGAATCCCATGCTTCAAATAAAGTATGTGTTCAAAGGATGTTTGTTCAATGAATTAATGTATATGTTTATGTTTCCAA